TTCCACAAAAATGTTGTAGGAAATTTATGCAGTCCAGAAACTCAAAAGATAATTGACAATTTTCCAAATTTTCCAAGCTCTGCATCTTTTAACTGCACTGCAGCGTGTTCATGAGCTTCCCTCTTTATATGTTGTACAAATAAGCAGTTCCAGTGATAGACAAAGTGCTTAGCAAAATGCTAAGTTTTAAGGGTATATTTTCAGAATGTTTAAAGGCTCAGCTGCAGTTGGTGAAATGAAATGGAGAGGGGCAACAGTTGACAAGGAAGTCCCAATGTATATTTGTAGATGAGTGAAATTCGCTTGTCCCTATTCCCACTTACTTCTGCAGGAGCAGACACAGCCTTTTGGGTTTTTCATGGGCTCTTCTTTAATGTGAACAAGCAAATATTTGTTTACTATGCACAGATAACAGTGGAAGTAAGACCACAGATAAGGAAACTAAGAAAAGGGCACTTAATCAGGGATTACAGAATTTATAGTTACAAATTAAATTGAGCTGGTCCTAAGATTTGTACTCGACTACAAAATGTGCCCCTCAGGCTAATATTCTTGTAAACTCCCATAAGTCAGTCAGTATTCATCCATTGTGCCTTGTCTTACACTCAGGTTGTAACCTCTTTGGAGCAGAGGATGTTTTTGCTGTATGTACAGCACCTAGTAGAAGGGGGGTGGGGGTCTAGTCCACAAGTTAAGGTTCTTAGGTGTTAATACAAACAATTTAAGAAAATCTTATAATGAATACTAGAAGATTTACCCAGTGTTGCTTGGGTCCTTAACTCAAAAAGTTTTGTTTTTCTTTGTTTAAATCATTATTCTAGGGTGGAGATGGGTGAGGGGGGTTCAGGATGCAGGATGCCCCAGGAGAACCACATCATTCCTCCCTCTCCACTGCAGCTTGGGGCCAGGTGAGAAGCACCTGTCCATGGACATTGCAGCAGGGACACCAGTGGGACAAACACAAATTCTCTGAAATATATAGTTGATAGATATCTTTCTCCACCCCCATCTCTGCTGGCCCAATGAGGTTACAGCTGTCCTTATCCCCATCTGGCCCCTTGTTGCCCTCTTGTGGTCATTCTACAGTATAACCATCTCTATCACCCTCCCTTTCCATTTTAGAAAAATAGTTGAATTCCAGGCACATCCAAACCCTGACCTTGCATTAAGTTATAAGAGGAAGCTGCATATCAAATTTGGTGGTCCTACCTCTCACTGTTTAGGAGGAGTCCTTGAACAAATAGAATCACAGATGGACATTCACATTTCTAAAATGTATAGTAAGACTCAGGAGCCAAGTAGAGTCAACTTCCATGAACTACGTGCAGGTACAAGGGACTGCCCACAAAGATCTATTTTTAGGATCAAGGTATACATTTTACTCCTGGGGGAATTAAAGTACCATTGGTGCAATGCAGAATTAGAGACTTCCTTGCTTCCCTTGAAAAACTGGGACTACAGACTTGCTGGCCATCATTAGGGACCACTGGAGTCTGCAGTGCCTCGCTCGCAGTGTGTTCAGCCTGGCTGGGCTGGAGACTGTACATGCTCAGATTTATCTTCATTCTCCCAGGGACAGAAAAGGGCCCTAGAGACCCAGCTGTGGCAGAGGGTGAAGAAAGGCAAGGCTGCACCACAGTATATCCCCTGGCAAGACAGTAAAGAAGCTGGAGGGAGAAAATGAGAACAAGATGACCCAGGGGCTGCCCCATAAGCCAGGTTCTAGGGAGAGAGATAGTGGTGTTTGGGGTCTGAATGTGGCCACTGCTAGCTCTGAGGCTGATCCTTAGGTTGGGGTGTATCCCATGGCCAAGATCTAGAGTGAAGAGGGTGGCGATGTCTGAGCCAGGAGGGTGCCTCATGGCTGGATTGTAGGGAGAGGGATGCTGGTGTCTGAGCTACGGGTGCTCTATGGCTAGGATTGAGAGGGGAGAGGTGATGGTCAGGATCAGAGATGCCCCATGGCAGAGCTCAGATGGTGCTGGCTCAGAGAGAGGAGTGTAAATGTCTGGGCCCTGGGAAGCTCCTACACAGCCCCCTCCAGCACTCCCCAACTGGAAGCAGATCATCATAAGAGTTTCTGTAGAACTCTACTCCTGGGGAAGCTTTTTTGCTATCTGTATTGTTGATGTACATGTTGACAGGCATCTTGAAATAAAGTTACCATATAACAAACTGGAATTTATTATATTGTATTATTTCGACATGAACGTGTTTTACAGAATTTTGAAATAACTGTGTGCAGGATTTAATTTTTTGGTGCAGAAATTCCCCAGGAGAAACATTTTCAGGAAGATTGATACAGCTCCACAACACAGAGGTTTGTCAGGGCTGATCAACCAAACATCTTGATTTCCTGAGCTTTCAAGTGATTTATAATAAGTTTTCACTGGAACTGTGCCTCTGTATTAAAATGTGACCAGTTGGCAGGGACCCAGTACTTCAAGAATTAGCAGTTTACCATTTCAAATTATTAATTGAAACAAATCTTCCAATAAACTTGCACCAAACTGTAGGTGATTCAAAATACTGCTGCTTAATGGGTTTGACTCCTAGGGTACGTATAGACTACATACCTCTGGCGACAGAGGCATGTAGATTAGGCTACCCAGCATAGGAAAATGAACCGTCAATTTAAATAATCGCCACTTAATTTAAATTTAAATGGCTGCCGCACTGAGCCGATCAGCTCTGTCGGCTTAGCGCAGTAGTCTGGATGCTCCGCTGTCGACATCAAAGGCAATTGTCGACCTCCCAGGTAAACCTCAACCCTGGGAGGCATACCTGGGAGGTCGACAAATGCCTTTGATGTTGACTGCGGAGCGTCCAGACTACCACGCTGAGCTGACAAACAGCTGATCAGCTCAGCGCGGCAGTCATTTAAATTTAAATGAAGCAGTGATTATTTAAATCGCCGCTTCATTTTCCTATGCCGGGTAGCCTAATCTAGAGGCATGTAGTCTAGATGTACCCCTAGACAACTTTGAAAAACTTTTTTTAACCATGTTATGAACATAAGCACGGGGATAGGATGTGCATTTTGTTACTGTAACTGGTTCATGCTACCTTATGGCTCAGTTTAATGCGTAGCCAGTTGTAACAATCATTTCCAAGAGCAACTCGTGGTGACATCAAATATGAACTTTAGGAACGACAAATCCCTGGCAAAAATAAGCCAAAATAGTAAAATCCAAAGAATGCAACATGTAAATGGATTTGCCTTTCATTTGAAGTTTCCTGGAGGCTTTTAAGTACTCACATGCCATGAACACAGCCCCGTTAAGATTTAAGCCCCTAGTTTTAATATTAGCTGATAACTTTGGGTTGATTATTTTAAAACAAGCAAGTTGCATAATGCTGGCAATTTGCATTATGCTGGCTAAAAGCCTAGTAATTTTTTTTTTGAGAATTAAAAAAAGACTCAGTAAAAAACTTACTGGCTACAACTATCAGCCACACGTTAAAGTAAAGATTGCACTTCCTTCTCAAGAATTCTAGTTAAAAGTTTACATAACCAACCCACGCACACTAGGATATTCCCTCTTTTTGCTTCTACTATACTGGATTCAGACCGAATATTCTGTGAAATCTATTTGTATAGATTTGCAATGCCCAAAGTCTCATGCAGAGACACACTGGTCCCAAATGGTAATAAGTTTGGGGATGATAGATGTCTTGCTAACATTTTATTTTCAACGATTCAATAAATTTCCCTGAAGTTTAGTGACTTAAATATTTATCCATTGAAGATTAGCCTGCTTTAACAAAAAGACTGCTATTTTTCAAAGCAACCAATCTTCCCATTTACTGAGCTGACTTTCTGATGGGCCAAACCCTTAAATAAGAAAAAGAAGTTTGGCATTATGCCTTTAAGTGATGCTTCAATTATATTTAAATATAACAAACTAAGCAGTCTTTTGATTATTACATTCTGTTCTTGTTTCATCTTCCTAAACAATCTTCCACTCTCATAGCAATTTTGAAACAAACATTGAAATATCTGAACACATTAAATATGAACACATCTTATTTGTCCCAAAGTTTATTTTTCAAAACTTTCATTAACAAATGAATGAATCTGAGCAACAATCTTAAAAACCCAAAACAGTTTTGTATATGGTCAAATTAAGTGCCACAATTAAATGTCAACATAGCCAGTTTTGTGCTTATGCAACATGTTTTATTTTGTAGAATTTGCTTCTTTAAATTCCCTCTCCTCCCCCCCCCCCCCCC